GCTGCCACCTCCGGCTGATGTCACATTTGTGCGCCGTCGTCCCTGGGCGCTGTCACCTCTGCGTGCCACTCACGCGGTGTGGGAGGGGGGGAAAAGGGGCGGAAGTGGGGAGGGGGGGGTGGCAGAGGGGCTGCGTGCCCCCCAACCCTCCCCAGCACCACCCCCATCTCTATAGGGGCGCAGTGGTGTCTGAGGGCATCCCAAGGGGGACCCCATTCCTATGGGGCAGAGGGGCACGGCGTGGGGCTGCAGCGGGGCCGTGCAGCAGGGCATGCAGTGGGGCTGGTGGTGAGGCCCTGCAGTGAGGCTGCGCTCTGCAGGCAGTGTCTGCAGTGAGTGCTGCGGGAGCATCGCAGAGCGGTACTGCAGCGCGGCCGGGGGGGGGGGTTGGGGGGGGGGTGGCGCGGAGGGGAGCTGCTATGGGGCTGATAATGGGGCACTGATAATGGGGCTGGGGGGCTGCTATTGGCACTGCTATGGGGCACAGCCATGGGGCACCGCTATGGGGCACTGCCATGGGGAGCAGTGCTATGGGGCATCGCTATGGGGCAATGCCATGGGGGGCACTGCCATGGGGCACTGCCATGGGGGGAACTGCCATGGGGCACTGCTATGGGGCACCGCTATGGGGCACTGCTATGGGGCACTGCCATGGGGAGCAGTGCCATGGGGCACCGCTATGGGGCACCGCTATGGGGTACTGCCATGGGGAGCAGTGCCATGGGGCATTGCTATGGGGCACTGCTATGGGGCACCGCTATGGGGCACTGCCATGGGAGGCACTGCCATGGGGCACCGCTATGGGGCACTGCCATGGGGGGCACTGCCATAGGACACTGCTGGGGCTGGAGGGGCTGCTATGGGGCACTGCTATGGGGCATTATTATAGGGCACTTCTACAGGGGACACTGCTGGGGGCATTGCCATGGAGCACAGTTATGGGGCACTGCTATGGGGCAGTGGTGGGGCTGGAAGGGCTACTGTGGGGCACTGCTATGGGGCACTGCTATGGGGCACTGCCACAGTGCGTTGCTATGGGGCATTGCTATGGGGCACTGCTATGGGGCACTGCTGGGGCTGCTGTTGGGTACTACCATAGGGGACACTGCTGGGGCTGAGGGCATTGCTGTGGGGCACTGCTATGGGGCACTGACACAGGGTGTTGCTGTGGGGCACTGCTGGGGTTGGGGGCACTGCCATGAGGCACTGCTATGGGGCACTGCTGGGGCTGCCGTGGGGCATTGCTGTGGGGCATTGCTATGGGGCTCTGCCATAGGGACACTTTCGGGGCTGGGGGCACTGCTGTGGGGCACTGCTGATAAGGGGCCACTGCCATCATGCACTGCTATGGGGCACTGCTGGGGCTGGGGGGGGGGAGGTAAGGGGGGGACAGACCCCCTGGGGGGGGGGGGGCCCTCCCGGGAAGGGGGACCCCACTGCGGTGGGTGACATCGCCATGGGGTGGGGATGGGGCGCATCGTTTCTATGTGACACGAGGAGGGGATCCTGCTGTGATGAGAGGGGATGACCTGCAGGGACACCAGGAGGAGGAGGAGGAGGAGGAGGAGGAGGAAGAAGGACTCACAGCACAGCCATGGTGGTGGGATGGGGCCCAGGGCAGTGGGAAGGTTGAGCTGCCTGTCCTCGGTGTGTGGGTCCTGGGGGTCCCAACCTGCTGTGACGGTCCTAAAGGTCCCAATGCGGCAGTGAAGGTGGTCCTGAGGGTCCCAACCTGGTGGTCCCCACAGTCCCCACTGTCCCAGCATGGTGGTCCCAGCGCAGTGGTGATGTGCTGACCCCAAAGCTCGTGGAGAAAGTGGTCCTGAGGGTCCCAACCCGGTGTGACAGTCCTAAAGGTCCCAATGTGGCAGTGAGGAGGTGGTCCCGAGGGTCCCAACCCGCTCTGGTGGCCCCAAGATCCCAACGCAGTGGTGAGGAGGGGGTCCTGAGGGTCCCAACCTGGTGGTCCCCACGGTCACAGTGCAGCAGTCCCAGTGTGGCAGTGAGGAGGTGGTCCTGGGGGTCCCAACCTGCTCTGGTGGCCCCAAAGATCCCAACATGGCAGTGAAGGTGGCCCTGAGGGTCCCAACCCGGTGGTCCCCACAGTCCTCACTGTCCCAGCATGGTGGTCCCTGCGGCCCCAGCGCAGTGGTGATGTGCTGACCCCAAAGCTCGTGGGGAAGGTGGTCCCGAGGGTCCCACCCTGCTCTGGTGGCCCCAAAGACCCCAACGCAGCGGTGAGGAGGCGGTCCTGAGGGTCCCAACATGGTGTGACGGTCCTAAAGGTCCCAATGCGGCAGTGAAGGTGGCCCTGAGGGTCCCAACCTGGTGTGATCTCCCCAAAGGTCCCAATGCGGCAGTGAGGAGGTGGTCCTGAGGGTCCCAACCTGCTCTGATGGCCCCAAAGACCCCAACGCAGCGGTGAAGGTGGTCCCGAGGTCCCAACCCGGCGGTCCCCCCGTTCCCCACGCTCCCCCCGGCCCCGGCGCGGCGGTGTCCCGGCGCTCCCCCGTGCGGCGGTTGCGATGCCGCAGCCCACCGCGCTCCACCAGCAGCAGCGCAGCGGGCAGCCGGGCTGAGACCCGACGGCGCTCGGCTCCCCCCCCCCCGGGGAGGAGGCCCCCCGGCCCGAGCGCAGCCGGGGCCGCCCCCCCCCCTGAACGGCAGCTCCGAGGAGCCCGGCTCCCCGCTGCCCACCTTCAGCGCGGCCGCCAAGGTGCGAGTGGCCGTCACCTGCCTGCTCTTCCTCTCGTCCTCCTGCTGCAACGGCGCCGTGCTGTGCGCCGTGCTGCGGGCCAAGCGGCGGCCGCCCCGCGTGCGGGTGCTGATGGCGCATCTGGCGGCGGCCGACCTGCTGGTGACGGTGGTGGTGATGCCGCTGGACGCCGCGTGGAACGTGACGGTGCAGTGGTACGGAGGCGAGGCGGCGTGCAGGGCTCTCATGTTCCTCAAGCTGGCCGCCATGTACGCGTCGGCCTTCGTCACCGTGGTCATCGCCTTGGATCGGCACGACGCCATCGTTTGCCCGCTGGGAGCGCGCGGCGCCGCCAGGAGGAGTAGAGCCATGCTTGGAGCCGCGTGGGGGATGAGCGCCGTGCTGGCGCTGCCGCAGGTGGGTGGCGGTGGGGGGGG